TGTGTGTGTGTGTGTGTGTGTGTGTGTGTGTGTGTGTGTGTGTGTGTTTTAATTTCTGAAAATTTTGCCAGCATTTAAGTCGAGATATCTGTAGGCAGGGAATAGCTCAGTAGGAAAAGATGCAAAGCCTGATGGCCCAAGTTTGATTCCCCAGAATCCATGTAAAGGTGGAAGAAGAGGACCAATGGACCAACTCTATGGAGTTGTCCTCTCACCTTCTCACTCATGCCATGACATGCACATAGAGAATAAAAACAATTAATTTAATAAATTTAGGGTATGATGAGATGGCTTACCTAGTAAAGGCAATCTTAAGGACCTGAGTTCAATTTCCAGGGCACACATGAGGGAAAAAGAAATGACTTATACAGCTTGTCCCCTGACCTCACAAGCATGCCCTAGAACTTGTATGTTACTACTTCTCCAGTAAATAAATAAATATAACTATAAATTTTTGAAGTGCACTTAGAGATTGATCTTACCTCCCCTTTCTTGAGAATTCACAACTTTCTAGTCCAGATCTGTCCTTATTGTCATCCTGCCCTGTCTCAGCTTGTGTGGGGCTTTAGTGTTATTTAAACCCAGATCTATTTGCTGATTTCTGACATCTGTTCAATGGTCAGAATTCTTGAATTTGTCATGCAAATGACCAAACCATTAGAACTACAATAGCTCTGTGAAAAGTCAAATGTGTAGACTGTTAACCACAGTGGTGAATTCCTAATGAATTTGGTAGCAGCCCGATTTTAGAGGTGTTTTTTGAAAGTCTCATGTATGTATGTATGTATTCATTCCTCAGATTTTATGCCCGAAGAGGTAGTGTATATAAAAGACTGTTAAATTGTTGCATTTATCCTCTTTTTTGACCTCTTAGCCCTCTGCTGATATTTCATAGACACATCTGCTGGTAATAGGATTAAGCTACAAACTTAGATTTGCAACTGCAATAACTTTAAGTACCCCCACAAAAAAAAGTTGGTTTTTAATATTTCAAATCAATCTTTGATTAAAAGTTTCCATTTGCATTTACTATCTGTGAGCATGAGTTCTGGATTTGAGCTCATTCGTCAGGAAACTGATATAGCCTACCCTTGGCCCTCAGTGGCAGAGCCTTCTACATCTTCCCTCTATACTCAGTGATGCAGCAAGGCCAATCCTTTGTTTTTCTTATTAAATAGACAATGTCTGAGTAAATAAGATTTGATTTTTGAAAAGGATTTATTTAATTTTATGTGCATTAGTGTGAAGGTATGAGATCATTTGGAATTGGTGTTATAGACAGTTTTGAGCTGCTGTATGGGTGCTGGGAATTGAACCTGGGTCCTTTGAAGGAGCAGACAGTGCTCTTAACCACTGAGCCATCTCTCCAGCCCCATTCTCTTGGTTTTTACATGGCGTAAATTACTGCAGTAATTGAAATAATCTGTGACTGTAATTTCATAAGAAAATATGTCTTGTGTTATGAAAAGAGGCCCATCATGGCATTGTGTCACTTGTAAGCATAGTTCTTAACTCTATTCAGTGGCTATGGCTCTGTTTTCTCTCACTTCAATCTGGGAATTGTCATGGAATATAGGTGACTATGTGTTGTTTGCAATCTAAAACATACTAGTGATTAAATCTAAAACAACCAATCTGTGATTACTAACTTGTTTTCTGTGCCCTGCTCCCTGTCAACCTTTCAATGGCCATTTCCCTTACAGGTTCCACTGCATCTTCGTTGCCCTTGGAAAAGGAGGAGCAGGTCCGACTGCAGGCCCAGAAGTGCCTGGAAGAGCAGCTGATACAGTATCGAGTGAAGCGCCATCGAGAGAGGGTGAGTCTCTTGGATTGGAGTCTGGGCTGTATCCTGTCTTCTCTATAAGTTTTGAGTTCTACAAGATAATGTCCTTGTTTACTTCTGGATTGTCCAGTCCACATCTGGGTTGTCCAGTTTCTCCATCTCTCACCCTTTCCCTTTGTGTTCTTTTCTAGAAGTTATTGCTCGTAATGTTTAACTGCTGCATTTGGGATGTTTGTCATCCCTGTGTCCCTGTCCTGGGATTACATTAATTTGATAGATTGACAGGATTGAAATTTTTCTATAAGGGAAAATTATGCTGCAGCTGGAGACATGGCTCAGTGGTTAAGAGCACTTGTTGCTCTTCTAGAGGACCTAGGTTTGACCTAGGTTGAAACTTTTTAAAAAAAGTGAGCCACAAGATGGCTCACAGTTCTCTGTAACTCCAGGTCCAAAGCATCTGACAGCCTCTTCTTGCCTCCTAGGGCACCAGGCATGCACATGGTGCACAAGTATGCATACAGGCAAAATACTTACACATAAAATAAAAATAATTTTTCACTATCTTCCTTTTTTAATTTTTTTTATTTATTTGTATTTTATTGGTGGTTTGCCTGCATGTATGAGAGTGTCAGATCCCCTTGAACAGGAGTTAGGAGTTATAGGCAGTTAGGAGCTGCCATATGGATGCTAGGAATTAAACCCGCATCTTGTGGAAGAGCAGCCAGTGTTCTTAACAGCTGAGCCATCTCTCCAGCCCCTAAAAAATAATCTTTGAAGAAAGTTATGTTGACATACATCGCTTGAGTTTTTCCTTTATCCCAGATATTACTCAGGCCATTTTGGAATGTCTAGCTAGTATAATAATGTAAGAAATAGAAACACTGACAAACAGGAGAATTGGTGTCATTTGCAGGTTTATGATGCCTTAGAAGATTATGAGATATCAACTAAAAACCATTCTTAGGTCTGAATTGGTTTTAGGAAATTTTCTGTTTTGATATTCTAGTTCATTAATAGGAAAAATCAGTAATTAACCTGCTATGATCAGTTATAGAATCACTTGGAAAAGATAATCTGCAACAACAATAAAAATGATAGAATAGCTGGGAATTAAAATAATAAACAGTGTTTAAAGTGAAGTAAGTGTTCCATGTGGCTGGGTGTTCCTAGTACCAAGATGGAGGCAGGGGGATCACAAGGTCTCTGTCAGCCTAGACCATGAGACCCGTGTATCAACATCCTTCTCATCCCACAAGAAAGGGTACCATATATCTTTGTTAAGTTATGTGTAAACAAGCAAATATGAATAAAGAGGTTCACGCTTTCTTGAATAATTACCAAAAGTAGACCTAATTCAACAGAACTTTAAAAAAAAATTTTTTTTTTTCTATATCTGAGAAACTAACCAGGACAGTTGCCAGGAAAATATTGCCAAGAAAGCTGGATGAAAAGAACTTGTGTTAGTTTAAAATGTTTAGAAGTTTTGGCCATCAAAAGCTATACTTCAGATGGTCAAGTCTGGTTACTCAATGCAACCTAAGTGGTGAGAGACTGAAGATCTGCTGCACCCAACATACGAAAGGCCTGGCAGACTGTTGCTGGAAGAAAGAATGTTCATTGGTGCATGCTTTCTGGATGAGAGTTTTAGAATACCGCTTGCTAATCTTCGTCATATTTTTATACTTTTGTTTCCTTCTCAGTCCAGTCAACCTGCAACAAAAATGAAACTTTTTAGTACACTTGATCCTGAGCTCATGTTAAATCCAGAAAACTTGCCAAGGGCCAGTACTGTGGCTGTGACAAAAGAATATTCATTCCTGCGTACCAGTGTTCCTCGGGGGCCCAAGGTAGGCAGCTTAGGGCTGCTGGCACATTCTAAGGAGAAAAAGAATTCCAAGTCAAGCAAGATTCGGTCTCTGGCTGACTATAGAACTGAAGATTCAAGTCACTCTGGTGGCCTTGGTTCCACTGCTGATGCTGTTACAAGTTCTCTGAAACAGAGTAGAAGCAGCACTTCAGTTGTGTCTGAGGTTAGCCCTTCATCTGAGACTGATAACCGTGTGGAAAATGCATCACTGACTGGGGATAGTGTGTCAGAGGCTGATGGAAATGAAAGTGACAGCTCCTCACACAGCAGCTTCTCTGCCCGAGGGGCCTGTGGTGGCCTGGGGAATGTGGGCATGCCAGGAGCAGCTTACATGGTTGATGGCCAGGAGATTTCTGCTGAGGCCCTGGGCCAATTTCCTTCTATTAAAGATGTACTACAGGCTGCAGCAGCCCAGCACCAAGATCAGCACCAGGAAGTCAATGGGGATGTGCGGAGCCGCAGAGACAGCATCTGCAGCAGGTAGGGCAGCATCCTTGACTCTGGGCTCTCAACTGCTGCTGTGCCATGTGTCTTGCTAATGCACCCCAATGTTTACATTAGCTTTTCTCCTACACACAGCTCTGTCACTGTATAAGTGAGCTCTAAACCAGGTGTGTGCTATGCAAAGCATCTATCTTCTTGTAGACTTATCTCTTAAGACTTCCTGGGTGCTTATATTTTTCTTTTTCTAGAGCATGTTCTTCTATAAGAGGCATGAACCTCAGTTTCAGTTCACTTCTTAAGCTGTATATTCTAAGATCTGGGAGGAAGCTGCATGTTGGTGGTGCATACCCATGATCCAAGCACTTAGGAGGCTGAGGCAGGAGGATCATAAGTTTAGGGTCAGTGTGGACTACATAGGGAATTTCAGGTCATGGAGGACCTATATTTTTCCTGTATAAAAATAATTCTCTTTTAAAAAAGCAAAAACAAGCCAGGTGTGGTTGAGCATGCCTGTAATCCCAGCACTCTGGGAGGCAGAGGCAGGCGGATCTCTGTGATTTCAAGGCCAGCCCTGTCTACAAACTGAGGCCAGGACAGAGAAACCCTGTCTCGGAAAAAAAAAACAATAAATAAATAAATAAATAAATAAATAAATAAATAAATAAATAAAT